ATGGAAATACAAAGACTTTCTTTGGTCCAGAAACCTTTTTAATTATCTGCAATCCTGTATGCAACCATCAGAAGAGAAATTAGTATTCAGGAAGTCGGGTCTGCTGAAGGAAGAGTGCTGAATTTGTGTGCTCTGCAGCTTCCTTACAAAGAGGAGAGGGAGCCTGGCAAAATGCAAAGTTAAATTCGTGCTGGGTATCAGCGGTCATTTATATGTCAGTGAATTTTGCCTTGCATCTCCCTCTTTCTCAGGAGGTATGTGCTTCTACTCACCTGGTTCTGATCTTCTCCTGCTTACATTCATGAAAATACAGCAGTTTGTGATTTTTCTCCTCAGTCTTATGCTTGTTTCTGCTTTCATTTGTTGTTGTTTGTCTTAGCTAATTATGATATTTTTTAGACCTAAATTTTTTTGGTGCACATTTTCCAAGAGGGGAAGTGTTGTTCTGGAAGCCCTTTGTGTAAGAAGTCCTGGACTACTCTTCAGCGCTTTCTATTTTTAAACTGGCATCTTTTCTGTTTAAGAAAGAAAGGGAATAACTCTTCTGGCAAGTACAGCAGTGCTTTCACTGGACAATTTAACATCTATCATATAAGGAGTGAAGATAGCAACGATGGCTGTGTGTGTGCGGAGAGGCTGAGATACCTGTGCACCTTTAAGGGGGTGTTTCGTGGTTTTCTCTTCCTGGGGCTGTGCAGTAGATAAAGATCTCTTTTTCTTTCATAAAAGAGCTTTTTGGAAGACATTTGGGGTTTTTTATTTGCCTTGCAAACAGTCTTAATTGCTTATGGTTGGTTTGTAACGTCTGTTTTCAGAGAAGATCATTAAATGTAAGCCATTTTAGGTACAGGTAGGACTGTAGCAGGACTGGCAGTAGGACTGGTCATGGCACTCAGTACATGCACAGGAATGACACGGTTAAATCTCTCTTCATGGCTCTGAAAAAAAGCACGTGCTGATGTTGTATTTAATGACTCTGTATGTGATGAATGGTGCCATAAAGCGCTCTGTTGTGGTAAATCGCTCGACAACACTGAAATTAGGAGATATGTTTTATTATCTAATGTCTGCCTGAACGTATAAAATAAAAAATGAATAAAATTGGAGGGGGATTCACTGTTATCTGATCCATGAATATTTATAGAGATATTTTCAGCGAACAATGAGTTTTGCAGACTTCTAAGCTAGAGGTTTAATCCTCTACAGTTTGCCTGCCTATGGTTGTTTTATTTTTGAACCGTATTTTCATTTTCAAACCCTCAGGTGAGATGCCAAAATCCAGTGGCACGTGAGGGTCTGTGTAAGCCACGAACGCTGAATATTTTCTATCTGACAACTCCAGACAGACAAGCGCTTCCCTCATTCCCTGATACTCAGCATGTCTTGGAGCAAGTTGATGTGAATGTTGTGCTTCATGCATTATTACATGCCTGGCTTATCCCTGCTCACTGACCTGGTCTTTCTCTCTTCTCTCCACCCCCTCCCCGCTCCCTTGGTGTAGCTTTCGCTCCCGGAGGAACAGAATGAAGTAACGAGAAACGGCTGTGAATCCAAGGAACTGGTCTACCTTGTGCAGATCTCTTGTCAGGTAAATGCCGTGTTTTCTCCCCACACCTCATTTTCCAGACTGTATTCCGTTATGTTTGGCCACACAGCCTCGTAATATTTTGATACGACGCTTTTCTGCGGCGTGTGGTGGTTTTTTCCTCTTCTTCACTAGCTCGGCCCTCAAAGGGATGCTGTCTGTGGTGCTGCGACCAGCTAGTTTTAAGGAAAGGAAAGGAGCATCGAGGGGAGAAAAAACATTTGTCTGTTAAGCAAATAATCCTCACTACAGTGAGCAGAGCTGCACAACGATTAGCCTAGAGACACAAGCGGGCATGCTTAGGCTGTGCGTATGCCTGTCGTCGTGGGGGGAGCGTACACTGACACACGGACGCACCAGAAGACACAAACAGAAGAAATACGTGAGGGGGGGAATGCCGGCCGGTGGTTTTGTGGATCGAGGTGTGCTGCTGGCAGTCAGGGGATGGGGATTCTTGATCTGGTCCCAGTTATGCCTCCAGACATCTGGTATGAAATTCTTTCACTGCCTTTGCTACCGTGGTGGCAAAATGCTTTGGGCAGGTAAATCTGCTGCTTTGTACTGCAGATTCCCCGTCTGCTGGTATGAGGGTACTGACTTTGTAAAATGCTGCCTAATAGGTTATTGTATTTTAATGTGCTGAATGGGATTGTTGTGGGTGGGAGACACGTTGCATTGAGAAATGCAGTTGAGAGTTAGTGCCTGTGTTCGGTCATTTTTCTGGTCTTAGCATAGCAGTTCTTTTCATGATTCATCTCGGCGCTTCTTGAGCATCCATCTTATCGATTTATGCTGAACGTTACTGGGAATTAAAGCTCTTTACGTGATTCTGCTGACATTTGAGGTACTAAAACGAAGTCTGGGGGTAGGCACAGCTGTGTTGGCTGCATTTGAATTGTGTGCGCCGGGGAAGTGCTTGCTCTCAGACTGTACCAGCGTAGTGGCGTTAGTACGCACAGAAACGTGAATTTGCAGTGAACTTGCCCTTCTGCACTAACTCTGTGAGCACACTGGTGTAGGGTGTTCTGAGAGCGCCGAGGAGCAACGCATCTTACGGTGTAAGCACACACCTGCACAATGTACATCTATATACAGGTATATATAAATAGTGCTCTTGAGAGAGGGGAGGGAGGCGAAAAGTGAACATCTCTCAAAATTGCCTGTGTTTGGGCATTTTGCTAGCACTGTTCTAACTCAGCTGTAGCCAGCTTCATCCGCAGCAATCGCTTTTCAGAAAAGCAATACGAGCGGACAGGCAGCACTGCGAAATTTAACGGTGGACACATGTCTGCGTCCCAGCCAGGAGCAGCCCGGTGACAGAGAGTGAGGTTTTTCAGGAGACTTAGGGAAACTGGAATTTTGATACATTTTGAGTCCTCAAGTTTGGGACCTCATTCACAGTGCTTAATGCAGAGATGAACCTTGTATTCTGTCCTGGCTGTTTCAGATGGGCCTGTAGAAATGCCAACAGAACAGTTTTTCTCTAACCCAGAAGCATAGCACTTCTGATCTTTCTATCCACCTTGCTGACACCTCTGCAGATTAACAGGGCACGCTTGGGTATACCTGTGTCCTTAAACCCTTCAGAACATGTTTCGTGCAGGAGCGAGCCCCAGGAGCAGGAACAGCCAGCGCGAGGCACGCAGAGCGGCGATGGTTCGCTGGTCGAAGTGAGCCAGCTGTCCAGCAGCTTGTCTGACGCCTCAGGCAGGCTCTGCGATGCTTTGCAGGGCTGTTTCTGAGGACACAGTGCAGGGACGTCATTTGCGCGGGGACAACGTGGTGAATTCTGTGCCTTGGCTACAGAAGATGCTGCTTTGCAGCGAGACTTCACTGAGCTGCTGTCCCGTAGATCCAGAGGCTGTGAGCTGTGGCCAGCAGCTGAGAAGTTGTTACCTTCTTTTTCAGTGTAACTGAGCTCAAATGAGAGCGCTGGGAGTTGGCCTCATCCCGTTAAAGGAAGGGCATAGAACCAGTCACCTTCTCTCTTTATTTTTTTTTAAGTGATCTTCCTGGCTAGCTAGACTTTCTCCCCGCCCCCAGTCTGTGATTCACCTCTCGCGTGTCAGTCGTGTGTGCCTGTCTCTCAGATACTTACAAAGCTGAGAAACTCGGGGCATCTGGATTCGATGAACGGAAAGGCATGGAAGGAGCTGCACAGCTGAGCAGCATTTCTACCACGGAGATACTTCACCCCTGACATCTCGTGGCCTCTCCTAATGTCCAGGGAAAGATTCCGTTCTGTCACGCGTTGGATACCAGCGGTGTCTGGATGGATTTGGCTCTGCAGTAGAATGGAATGGGAGGTGTGAAATAGCTCATGGAATGATAGTGCAGAGGGGAGGGATTTTGGCAGGACGCGTCCGTATCGGGCCAAAAATATTGAAGGAGGGAGAACGAGGAGACTATAAAACAAATTTCACGTTGCTCACCTTTTGGATCCGCTGCTAGCATCGGTGTTCATCCTGCTGCAGCAGAAATCTCTTTGGTTTCTCAGATGGACACAAGAAAACGAAATCTGTTAATTAAGGCGAAACCCATATAAATTTGAAAGCTTTAAGATATTTGTGATTTATTGCAAAAACAGATAGCATGGGAAGGGCAAGGGCATTTGGCCGTCTTGGCAATCTTAGGTTACGAACCTTAGAGAAATAAACTAAAAAAACCTGGCTTTGGGGTTGAATGTGGTCCACTGCTGCGCTTTGCCCAGTTTGGACGGAGCAGATACAATCCGTGTGTTGTGTGGTCCGTAAAAAGACATTTATTTTGTCGTTTCATTCTGTAGCAGACAACAAACCAAAGCTTTTGAACATTGGACTCATAAAACATCCAGCTCAGTCGTAGCTGTGTTTGGCAGACTACAGTCCAGCATTTACACTAAGGAAATTCTATCCCGCTCTTTCCCATCTGTAAGTATAATTTTAGTGGTGTAAAGAGAATTATTGTTTGGTTTGCAAAACCTTCCCAGATAAGGTCTGGGAAAAAAAAATAGTTTTTGGAGTTGTATTTGTGACACATTTCTGCTGCAAGTCAGCTTGTGAAATACAAGCTTTGTGTGAGGTTCAGAGGGGTTTTTTAAGTCTCTATTCAGCTTTTCTTCTACTTAGAGACCTCAAAAAATTAATCCAGTTTATTAGCTCTTAAGAAGTGGGAATATGGAGAGAGCTGATCCAAGTGTTTCTGAAAAGTGAAAGAGAGGATTCTTTTGACTGCTTTGAACAAATTTAAACATGAAAACTAGCAAATGACAAAGGTAGGGGTTTAAATTTCATTGGAAAGAGCTGATGATAGGGGGATTTGGTTTGGTTTTGTTTTTTAGAGCAATGTAGGTGGATTTTCATTTTTTCTAAGGGAGATTTCACTGTTTAACTTTCACTCATTTCCAGAACATTGCTTTCAGGACATGTACAGTCGCTACTGTTGACAGATTGCTCTTATTAAAATAAATGTAACCAAAATCTCCTTCTGTCATAAAAGAAGGGATGGATGAATGGAAGGAAGACTTTGTAAAACAATCTCCAAATGCTTGCAATCAGGGGAAAGATTTTTTGGGGAAGAGGAATGGATGCTTTGAGTGCCCGCTTTCCCAGAGCGCAGACCGTACGCCACGTGCGTTTGCGCTAGGGAGGAAAATGGCTTTAAAAAATGTTAGAGACTGTGTCTTGTGCCGGAGATGGAGAAGCCTAAAATCCTGGGAAGGGTGGTGTTGAGGACTGTACCTGTGAACCTTCTGAACTCTGTAGACGGTAATGGCAAGCCTTAATGATAGCCGTGGTCCTTAAAGGACCACTGGGAATGTCTGAGACCTTTATGAGTTTATGCTGTACCTGTCGGCTGTGAAGGTCCACTGCCAGGGTTGGCAATCCTTGCTGAGTTCCACGGGGATAAGCAAAGAATTTACAAGGTCTGCAACACATTTAAAAGGGCTTTACTATGTGTGTTGAGAATAAATCAACAAAAGTAAGAGCCTGCAAAAAGGTTGAAATTGGTTAATCCGGCCAGCGTGTTTTGTCGAGTTGTAAAGCAGGCTGAAAACACGCCTTTTAAATGGTTTTGGATTTGTGTACCTGCATACGTATCGGAATATTACGCCATAAGCATGGCCAATCTAAGCTTTTGTTCTGAAAACAGAAAGAAAAATAAAAAGCATGCAGTACTACTTGCACCGTGAGATTTGTGGAATTTCAGCCCTTCAAGCATCATTTTTTTGGGGTGAAATTTTGAACGGGAAGGAGAGAACAAGAGACTGGTTGTGAAAATGTTCGGGTTCTAAGGGAGACCTTAAACTCCAGCCATCTCTTGTGCTTTTTATCGTTCATTTTCATTACCACAGGTAGATTGTTGAGCAGAAATGACAGGCACTGGAAACCAGAAATGTCAGACTGTGCAAGCGCGAGTCCTGTTTAAAATAATCTTAGGACTAGATCTCAGGGTAGACCCTTAAACACAGACTGACTGTTGTCATCTCAGAACCGAGCCACACTACCTTCTCTGTTCCCTGCCTTTCATGGGATAGGGCCAACGTCCTGCAAAGGAAGCCTCTTTCTGCTGCGACTGAGGTTGGATTTCTAAGGCTGTTCTCAAAAGCAGGAAGCTCTCGTGGTCCAAGCGTGGGTTTTCTCCGTTTTTCTGCTCACATTCGCAGACCCCGCGCTGGCAGTGAGTTGAGCCACGTGGCTTTGTTGTACAGGATGCACAGCACTTTGCCCTGTTCCTGTTTTTTGTCCGAGGCAGCCCTTGCTGTCTGTGCTCTGTTCCTTTTGATTGATAGAATAAGGTCTCTGATGTACTAGATGAAGGCATTTACGCAGATACACGCCACTTGCACCTCCCAGCTCTGCCTCGCAGGAGATTCAAGCTGGGGTCTTCTGTTTGCAGACCGGTATTTGCAAAGCTCTGAAGGCCACCCCATCCAGTGTTCCATGGCTGAGAGTGCGGTTGCAATAATAAGTGCTTCGAGGGCAGCGGTGAGAATGCCAGGAAAAAAATGGGACCCAAATAGG